TGCCTGGAGTAGGTGAAATAAATTGGTGAGTGAAACGTGTCACTTGTATTATACATTAATTGCCGTGTCACAATTTGTCAGTCGCTCACCGTATCATCAGGGTAGACAGGAGACGTTAAAACAACAGGACATCATCAGGGACAGACAGGAGACGTGAAACAACAGGACATCATCAGGGGTAGACAGGAGATATAAAACAACAGGACATCATCAGGGGTAGACAGGAGACGTGAAACAACAGGGCATTATCAGGGACAGAGAGGAGACGTGGAAAAAGAGGACATCATCAGGGGTAGACAGGAGATTTAAACAACATGACATCATCAGGGGTACACAGGAGACGTGAAACAACAGGGCATCATCAGGGACAGACAGGAGATATAAAACAACAGGACTCCATCAGGGTTAGACAGGAGATGTAAAACAACAGGACATCATCAGGGGTAGAAAGGAGACGTCACACAACAGGACATCATCAGGGTAGACAGGAGACTTCAAACAACAGGACATCATCAGGGTAGACAGGAGATGTGAAACAACAGGACATCATCAGGGGTAGACAGGAGACGTCAAACAACAGTACAACATCAGGGATAGACAGGAGATGAAACAAAAAAACAGGACATCATCAGGGATAGACAGGGAGACCTGGGAAACAACAGGACATCATCAGGGTAGACAGTTTACGTGGGAAACAACAGGACATCATCAGGGGTAAACAGGAGACTTCAAACAACAGGACATCATCAGGGACTGACAGGAGACGTGAAACAACAGGACGTCATCAGGGATAGACAGGAGACGTCAAACAACAGGACATCATCATCTGGGATAGACAGGAGACGTAAAACAACAGGACTCCATCAGGGGTAGACAGGAGACGTGAAACAACAGGACATCATCAGAGATAGACATGATACGTCACACAACAGGGCATCATCAGGGTTAGACAGGAGACGTGAAACAACAGGACATCATCAGGGGTAGACAGGAGACGTTAAACAACAAGACATCAAGTGTAAGGAGATCAGTAGCACAGGGATATACAAGAGAATGTAAAAACAGCACAGCATGAGGTGTAAGGAGATTGGAAACACAGGGATACGCCACAGAGTTGGAAGCCCTCCCAACCGGCACATCCGGCATGCCCTCAACATCGGCACTAGAATTTGGTACCGGCAGAAGCTAGTTATTTAGATCATTTACACGTCCTCTAAACCGGCGTCAGTCAATTCCGTATTTCGGCACAATAAAGACCGCCCAATTGACTGTTGATTGGCTCAACGTAACAACACAGTGGATTACGGTTAAGTACGATGGAGTGTGGTTAAAGATTATGCCTGAGTAGGTGAAATAAATTGGTGAGTGAAACGTGTCACTTGTATTATACATTAATTGCCGTGTCACAATTTGTCAGTCGCTCACCGACATCATCAGGGGTAGACAGGAGACGTTAAACAACAGGACATCATCAGGGACAGACAGGAGACGTGAAACAACAGGACATCATCAGGGTAGACAGGAGATATAAAACAACAGGACATCATCAGGGGTAGACAGGAGACGTGAAACAACAGGGCATTATCAGGGACAGACAGGAGACGTGAAAAAAGAGGACATCATCAGGGGTAGACAGGAGATTTGAAACAACATGACATCATCATGGGTAGACAGGAGACGTGAAACAACAGGGCATCATCAGGGACAGACAGGAGATATAAAACAACAGGACTCCATCAGGGTTAGACAGGAGATGTAAAACAACAGGACATCATCAGGGGTAGAAAGGAGACGTCACACAACAGGACATCATCAGGGTAGACAGGAGACGTCAAACAACAGGACATCATCAGGGGTAGACAGGAGATGTAAAACAACAGGACATCATCAGGGGTAGACAGGAGACGTCAAACAACAGTACAACATCAGGGATAGACAGGAGATGTTAAAAACAGGACATCATCAGGGATAGACAGGAGACGTGAAACAACAGGACATCATCAGGGGTAGACAGTTTACGTGAAACAACAGGACATCATCAGGGGAAGACAGGAGACTTCAAACAACAGGACATCATCAGGGACTGACAGGAGACGTGAAACAACAGGACGTCATCAGGGATAGACAGGAGACGTCAAACAACAGGACATCATCATCTGGGATAGACAGGAGACGTAAAACAACAGGACTCCATCAGGGGTAGACAGGAGACGTGAAACAACAGGACATCATCAGAGATAGACATGATACGTCACACAACAGGACATCATCAGGGTTAGACAGGAGACGTGAAACAACAGGACATCATCAGGGTAGACAGGAGACGTTAAACAACAAGACATCAAGTGTAAGGAGATCAGTAGCACAGGGATATACAAGAGAATGAAAAAACAGCATAATATCAGGAGTAAGGAGATCGGACACACAGGGATATGAGGGAGAGACATGAAACAACAGCATAGCATGAGGTGTAAGGAGATTGGAAACAACAGGACATATCAGTGGAAGCCCTCCCAACCGGCATCCCTCCAATCCGGCATGCCCTCAACATCGGCACTAGAATCAGGTACCGGCAGAAGCTAGTTATTTAGATCATTTACACGTCCTCTAAAACCGGCGTCAGTCAATTCCGTATTTCGGCACAATAAAGACCGCCCAATTGACTGTTGATTGGCTCAACGTAACAAACCACAGTGGATTACGGTTAAGTACGATGGACGTGTGGTTAAAGATTATGCCCTGATCAGGTGAAATAAATTGGGAGAGTGAAACGTGTCATCACTTGTATTATACATTAATTGCCGTGTCAGATTTGTCAAACGCTCACCGTATCGTCAGGGATAGACAGGAGACGTGAAACAACAGGACATCATCAGGGATAGACAGGAGACGTGAAACAACAGAACATCATCAGGGTAGACAGGAGACGTGAAACAACAGGACATCATCAGGGATAGACAGGAGACGTGAAACAACAGGACATCATCAGGGGTAGACAGGAGACGTGAAACAACAGGACATCATCAGGGATAGACAGGAGATGTGAAACAACAGGACATCAATCAGGGTAGACAGGAGACGTGAAACAACAGGGCACCATCATGGATAGACAGGAGACGTGAAAAACAACAGGACACCATCATGGTTAGACAGGATATGGAAAAAACAACAGGACATCATGAGGGATAGACAGGAAATCTGAAACAACAGGACTCTATCAGGGGTAGACAGGAGATCTCAAACAACAGGACATCATCAGGGGTAGACAGGAGATGTGGAAACATCAGGACATCATCAGGGACAGGAAGGAGACGTGAAACAACAGGACATCATCAGGGATAGACAGGAGACGTTAAACAACAAGACATCAAGTGTAAGGAGATCGGTAGCACAGGGATATACAAGAGAATGAAAAGACAGCATAATATCAGGAGTAAGGAGATCGGACACACAGGGATATACAAGTGACATGAAACAACAGCATAACATGAGGTGTAAGGAGATTGGAAACACAGTGATATATAGTGGAAGCCCTCCCAACCGGCATCCCTCCAATCCGGCATGCCCTCAACATCGGCACTAGAATTTAGTCCCGGCAGAAGCTAGTTATTTATGATCATTTACACGTCCTCTAATCCGGCGTCAGTCTATCCCGTATTTCGGCACAATAAAGACCGCCCAATTGACTGTTGATTGGCTGAACGTAACAACACAGTGGATTACGGTTAAGTACGATGGAGTGTGGTTAAAGATCATGCCTGAGTAGGTGAGGTAAATTGCTCACCGTCGCTCACCGTATCAAGATGGCTAGACCAGTCAAGCGGGGGAGATTGGAATTAACTCTTGAACAGAAAATTCAGCTGTTAAAAGATTTTGATGCAATTCCTCGGCCTACTCAAAAAGATATTGAACTTAAGTACCAAATTGGCAGGCAAACAGTTTCGGACATTTTGAAAAAGGGTCATGTGTATGAAACTAACTTTGAAGAAAACATCAATTCTAAAACAAAACATGTGAATGAAAACATTAAATTTGACAAAATTAACACACTTACGCATAATTGGGTTTTGACTGCCCTCAGTAAAACATGCCCATTTCTAGCCCTATTTTGAAAGAGAAAGCTATTCAATTTGCCTCAGAATTAAACGTAAACGAGTTTAAGGCATCGGATGGTTGGCTGGCACGTTGGAAGACACGATACGACATCAAACAGTTCAAAGTGACCGGAGAAAGTGCCAGTGTAGATCACAGTTCAAAAGGGAAAGGTTCTCTAAACCGGCACGCCCGCTATACCCGCATTGTTTGCCGGTCCCAAAGCATGCCGGTTTAGAGGGCTTCCACTGTACAAAAGAAGTAAACAACAGCATAACATCAGGTGTAAGGAGATCGGAAACACAGGGATATACAAGAGACATGAAACAACAGCATAACATCGGGTGTAAGGAGATCGGAAACACAGGGATATACAAGAGACGTGAGACAACAGCATAACATTGGTTTAAAAACAGCAAAACAACAACATGTGAAAATTGTAGCTGCCTTGTATCTTTAACATTCAAGTTACTTCTGACACCAAATATTCGCTTAAACCACTGACTAATCTGTCATACATACCCTGAAACACGAAGAAATCTCATGCAAGTGTATAATATGTGGCAAGATTTCCACTGTTTTAGAAGAAAGTCTCTGGGCTCCTTTTCATGATATTGTATGATTGTAATTTAGGAACTTTTTTTCTTTCTGTAAAATATGTTCATTTCAGAGACTAGATGTTAGTCTAACTAGTGACCAATCAGCTGTTTCACTTAACAGTGCAAGGGTCCAAATATGGATGTTCAGAAGCCTAGATCCTCTCTCTGAGTATGTTTCGTGGTCCTGAAGCATACTACTTGGCTAATTATAAAAATCGGTCAACGCCTTGCACAAAGCGTATACACTCTGGTATGACCTAAATACAATTCAAAGCGTTACGTTCACACACTCTGAAAAATTGTCCTTACCTAGCATCCATCCAATCAAGAGAAGCACCGTCTTCACATCCATCTCCGGGAACTCAGCAACAGAAGCCTATCGTTGAAGCTGTGTACAGCACTGAACGAACATGAAACTATTCCAGCTATCAGTTTCGATCAGCAGATTACTTGCCAGGTTCCAGCGCAGATAGATGTGGCTGCTGTCGGATTCATTCTGCGGCTTGACGGTGACACGGTGGTATTTAGACAGCATTGCGTAATTATTCATTAACCGCCCAATGATAAACATTAAGTTCTATAGCCTATCGTAATGTGGTTGTAAATAGCAAAAGTCAAAACGACAGGGTGTTGACGGTACATTATCTGACTAATGACTGTGATATTATCAACTTGTGAATAACTGCATAATGTATCACATGGCTTTACAAAGTAATCCATCAACTGACTGTGTGACGGTGATAAGCGTAGCCTGAAACAGTGGATGATAATAGGGATGAATAATCACACCACGCTTACCTCCCTTTCATACTACTGTACATCTGTAATAGTTCATAGGAGTAATAATCTATATCAACAGAACTCGGTAAAAGTGGACGCTTGTCGCTGGGTAAATTTGAATTTGATGGCATCTTTCTCTCGGTCCTTCAGAAATCTGATGCCCCGATCTCGCTACAAATGGAACGTCATTTAGCCGCTGGTTGAGCGTTGCAGCTGCGTGAATGTCAGTGAGTGGAGTCGCCTAGTGTGTAGACCATGGAGGCAGCAGCAGAGGTGTTTTATTAATTTTGTGTAACAAAAATAGACCTTCGAAACTAGACTCACAAATGAAAATATTTTAAAAAAACCAACACTTTACAGATATAATGAAAAGGACTTGCCACATATTCTAGACTTGCGTGGGCTTTCTTTGATGTATTTGTTTTTTTTTATGATCTGTATGACAGACTAGGGTGGGGGGATGTGGAGGGAAACCAACAGGTGTTTGCTAGAGAAAGACAATAAGGCGCGGTTATGAAACTCTTCATGCCCAAATCTCTTTCGAATCCGTTCGGATGACCCAGGTTCATTGTTCACCCGGATCCTTCTTTCACAAAGCCACATTAGCTCGTTGACTGTAAGTCACTTTCACTGAATACAACACAGTTACGACCCACATCGTAAGAGTTTTTAGTAATAGTTTTCAATGGCACCATTGGGTACTGGGATTTGCTTGACCTCTTGCCGTATGCTGTAACTCTTCCCAGAGCTCGATGTTAGCACGGATATATCACATGACGATAAAAATCCTCAAAATATTGTCAATAATAATAATGAGAAGTCTTATAATGCGCTAATCTCCACTCAACAAAGCATGCTCAAAGCGCTAGCACCTGTTCATTGTTATCCCGGATAACCCAAGCTGCCTCTTTGCGGCGCTAGAAGGTTATAGTCACATGACTTTATCCAACCGGGTACCCATTTTCTGCTGGGTGAACGGAGGCTATTTTGAACAAACTCACTTGCCTAAGGTGAGACCACATATATCACCTGTGCTTCGTTATGGACAGGACTGAAGTCCTAGAAACTCTCTAGAAACTGCCAAACACGGTCACCCATCCGAGGACTGTCCGAGCTCGACGTTGCTTAACTGCAACTGATTCGTGACTTGAGCTCTGGACTGTGCAACTGATTCGTGACTTGAGCTCTGGGCTGTGCAACTGATTCGTGACTTGAGCTCTGGACTGTGCAACTGATTCGTGACTTGAGCTCTGGACTGTGCAACTGATTCGTGACCTGAGCTCTCTGCTGTGCAACTTATTCGTGACTTGAGCTCTGGACTGTGCAACTGATTCGTGACTTGAGCTCTGGACTGTGCAACTGATTCGTGACCTGCGCTCTGTGCTGTGCAACTGATTAGTGACCTGCGCTCCGTGCACAGGACCACCCGCCATCACAAAATAGGCACATCAGTTGAGAATAGATACAAACAAGATGGCTAATAAGGGAAAGGCAGCGGCGACTGTTAGCAAATGCACGACAAAATCTGCGGCTAAATATGCGGCTAAAGCGTGAAGAGGCTAAACAGGAAATAGAGAATATAGCTTACAGCTGGTTGAAAGACTAATATCTTACCTTGCCTTTGAATTACTTGAAATATATTGACCATGAAAATATCAGACGTCTAGGTGGCGGTAGTTAAAAGGTCCAGCAGGGAATATATTCACCGAAAATGCACTGATGTCTGTTATCTCTACGAGTGAGTTAGTGAGTGAGTGAGTGTAGTTTTACGCCGCAATATTCCAAAATGCCGGCGGTCTGTAAATAATCGTGTCTGGACCAGACAATCCAGTGATGTCTGTTATCTCTAGCCAAGCTCCTTGCAGCGAAACGGCATATGGTCATATATGGTCATTAATGTGACGCTTCCAATATAGGTTCTAGAGTGTTAATAATCATTGATATCATACATAAATTGTTTGACGTACGATTACATATGATGATTCGGAACCATGCCATGTGATGTTTAGATTCATAAATCTGTACCGACAAATATCGATTGAACTCAGTAGCCAAAGTACAAAAGGGCCACCGAAATCTGGTCCATTGTCTGTTTTAGATAAAAAAAAATGGACAAGAGAATAAATATTAAGTTTTTTTATTGCTACTTAGAAGGTGTGAGAATTTGATGACATTAAACCTTTTATGTTTCATGTCGGTCAGGATATTTTCATTTAGGATATATCCAACGGGGATAATGTACACATTAGGAGTCACGTGTGAGTTTAATCACGTCCAATACATTAATGTTTCAGTTTCACCTTGGTGTTGTGGTCAATGTTTCAGTTTCAACTAGGTGTTCGAGACAATGTTTCAGTTTCACCTAGGTGTTCGAGACAATGTTTCAGTTTCACCATGGTGCTGGAGGCAATATTTCAGTTTCACCTCGCTGTTTGAGACAATGTTTCAGTTTCACCATGGTGTTTGAGACAATGTTTCAGTTTCACCTAGGTTTTGGAGTCCATATTTTAGTTTTACCGTGGACACAAGACAGCTTGTTTACCTATGCGTCTATACATAATTATAACACAACTTACAGGCCATCAACATTTTGCTCTTTCAGGAAAAGTGGTAAAGGGGTATATTTTGAAAATATTCCCAGAGCTTTATTACATATTTCAATAGGTATGCCATGGATTTTCAACACCTCTTTAAAGTCTTTCCCGGTATGACGGTTTCTTTATGTCTAAATAACAATGACCAACACCACTCAGTATAAATATAGTTGATCTGTATTTCACTGAACACGAGTCATATGTTGCATTAAGAAAGCAGTCGGCTCGGGTAACATGAATGACAAGCGCCACATTACAAATAATTCTGTATTCCATGGTTTGTTGAGTCACCAGCCACTGTGCAGTCAGTCGAATCAAGAGCACATCTGGCAGTGGTTGTGTAACCTTAAGGGCAAGGGCCACAGTTTGTTTTTCCTGGTGAGCTTTGATACGGTCCTTATGGACATGGAGTACATGGTTGAAGACTGTCAGATGAAGACGTTCCGGGCGGACACGGAGGAGATGTATTGGCAGTGGCATGGAATGAATTTTGACTTAAACCAGACAGATTCTGAACAAAAGGGATATTGGCCACACAATGTCAAGGGTGTGAAACACTGCATCCACGTACAATTAACCTAAGTCTCGTTTACTGATAAGAGCTTCTTCATGAAGACAAACAATATGTTACAACACATCTAGAAGTTTTTTATTGAGAAATGTTTTGGACAGGACGCTTTCATAGGAAGCGGTAACTGGGCGCCAGATATACAATATGTCTATAAACTGTTGCCAATTTTGCACTGTATTATGGAACATCCAATGCAGACTGTAAAATTCACTGTATGATGTAATACACTTTCTATGGTGCACGATTTGCTCTGTGGAGACCCAATGAGCGTGTATGATTTAAACATCATTCAAAGAGATCCATATCAAGACAGAACCCATTTTTTGCTGAATTAAAGCAATTCTGGTAGATGCTGCGAGAAATTATTCATGAGAAAATAATTCTTCCAGAAATATCTGCAGAAAAGAAATTCGGCCAGAAATTTCCATATGAACACATGAACACACTTAAACATTATATTTGGGATTTACCTCCTCAAGGTCTTTACAATGATATAAAAGATGCCTTTGTTGCTTGTTGCCCTCTCTGTCTCTAGTGGTCAAACCCGGCCTCATTTGCAACAGCTTTAAATCAATTTGGTAAACATGGCAGAATATAGAAGTATACTTTGAGCGTTGAATAAGCGCCAGTACATTTCGCTATTGGATGTAATATAGTTGACTTAAGACACATGTATAGTTGATTCAAAATCAAAATCAAGGTATAGCTTCTTTAGCCACAGTAGGAAGTTAATAAATCCTACAATTAACTCGGCATCTATTATCTGTAGATGATTGGACCTTTACATATCTATGTATCTATGTAAATACAGATTGTCTTTTGCATCCTGTAAGTCCAATCTGTGTAATGTGTTCTCGTACTCCATATTGACACGGTGAAGGGGCAGGGATGTGCTTTGTTTCCTCACTTACCCATAGTCTCGTAGTATACTGTGTAGTTCCCTGCTGGATAAGCACTTCCGGGTTGCAGGTTCGATATCAAGGTCACGTTCAGGAAGTCACGGTTCGGAGAGTCTATTGCCATGACCTCTGCTCACGTCACGCTGATGCTTGTTTGGTTTGGTCCAGGATGTGAGACTGGCTAAAGGGACAGTTAATGAAGACCGGAGGCGATGTTACTGGAACGGCAAGCCATACTCTTCTTCACTCCATTCAACGATCTTCCAGTCCCGACAGTTCTGATATACTCCATCATTTGTCAGGTAAGTCAGGGGTGGCAGCAAGGCAGGAGTGGACACTGGAAACAAATCCACATTTACAAGCTTGGAAATGTCTTGGAATGATGATGTTTCCAAGACATTTCCAATTTTGGAAAGATGATGTTTCCAAGACATTTCCAACTTTGGAAAGATGATGTTTCCAAACATTTCCAATTTTGGAAATGTGAGATTTCCAATTTTGGAAATATCCGCAAGGGGAGAAAACTGGTGGATGATGGTAAATGATTGTTCTGCATGGGCTAATTGCTATAGTGGCATGGGGGCGGCATGAGTGTTTCATGGGGGCGTTAAGGCGACTGGTGGTAGTCTTTGATGTTTGGTGTTGTTTTAGTAATGATTGTTTAAGGGATTAACGAAAGGATTATCGACTTGACTAATCGAACTTGCAGTGGTGAACACATTTTAAATGTTCAATGTTTTTGGTGAAAAGTGAATTTTGTCACGTTTAGTTTAAGTATGTGTCATCGTAAGCTTATATCTAGTGAGTGAGAGTTAATTTCGTACAAGGGCCACCGACCCGTTATACAATT